GAGAAGAAGAAGAAGAAGAAATTCACGAACTTACCTACCATGGCTCTGTTTTCGCTTGGAGTTGCGGGAGAAAAAGAGAACCCAAAATGGAAGAGACTCCGACTCTGATTTGGCTCGTGAATTTGAGTAAACCCGAGAATGGAATGGACGGATTCAGGGCGATCCGTCTTGATGAAATCGAGGCCCAAGAGTTTCCGTTTTCTTCGAAAGAAGTCTGCCCAGAAGAGAAGATTATAAAATCGGCTCAACAGTTTATGAGGATTATTTGTTTGATGGTTCTGTGTTCACATACAGGAAAAAATGGTAAAAATATTTATATAAAAAAAAAACTTAAATACTATTAACGAATCAATATATATTTAGGAATTGTTTAAACCTTTAATTTGCTTCCTTAATTATTGTAGGTATCTGAGTTTATTCTTAAATTCAAAAAAAATTTAATTTAGTTTTTAAAATTTTTAAATTTAACTTTAAGTTGATCTTTTTATTAAAAAATAATTGATATATTTATTATTATTTGATTATAAAAAATTATTATTTGATGACCCCATCATACATCAGAATAGAGGTACCAACTTCAAACTAAATTTAAAAATTTTAGGAATTAAATTTAAAAATTTTAAAGACTAAATTAGAGATTTTTTAGTTTAAAAACCAACTCAATAATTCATAAAATAATTAAACTAAATTAAGGTTTTAACCTTAGATATTTTATTGGGTTTAGGCTAGATAATTATAAAAAATTAAGAGTATAATAACGTATCTTAAACATGATACTTAAAAGGGTATTAAAAATATATATTTATGACCTCAAAACCTCTTCGATGTATTGTAGCTTCATGAAAATTCACAAAGAAGCATTAATTTCAAAAGTCTATGCCAGGTGTGATGTCATTTGTCAGAACAATGGTTGAAGGTTGTGTTTAGCTGATTGGAGGTATGTCATGTTCAGATTAGTCCCTCGCATAAATGCTCAAACATAAGCAACCAGTGACACAAGTTTTCAACAGCCATTAGACATGCATGCAGAAATCCAAAAGATTTTAAAATTTTAAACGAACTACAGCATCAGTACTCACCATGTTCAAAGATGCCAAATATGGTGATCTTTCAAGTGAATCTGGCACACATTGCCAACCACCCTGAGAAATTTCAATCTCCAAATGCTTCAAATTATAAAAGACGGGAGAATTATTCAGAGAATGATCCCCTTTAAGAAGCTGCAGATGAGAAATACTAAATCTAACTATTAAATCAAATAAACTAAATTTAGAACGATAGAGAGAATAAAGCTACCATATTATCAAGACTCTCTAACTCTAGTCTCACTCTGTTAGAGATACCATAGAGAAGCATAACCCACTTCTACATATTAAATGTATAGCTATGGGATGGGCCATGGCTAATATTTTATGTTTTACATGATCATGCACTGTAAATGCATTTTATGGTATAAAGAATAAAAAATGGTTAATTGTTTGGAAGATCTTGGACATTGGCTTTTAATTTTGTGTTAATGGAAAGAATTTGAGAGTTAAATTCATAGGCTTGTTCTTTTTTTTTTGAATTTATGATTTTATGTGATCTTCTGTCTTTCTGAATTGATGATATTTATCTTTGATTGTATAGAAAGCCAATAACCTGGATTGATGGATGAGCAAGGTGAATGGAAAGGGAGAGATGAAAAAGACGATCTTTTATTATTATTTTTACTTCACTGATGTGGAAAAAAATTGCCAACTCATCAAAGAGAGTTTGATTTCTTTTTCAAGTCATTATATTTTTTTAAAAAAGATTGATTTTCTGGCAAGGTGTCAATTCCATCAACGGAAGGAGTAAATTGATCCCAAAAATTGAAGTTTAGATATATTCTTGGTATTGAATTTGGTTCAAAAAAAAAAAAGAGTCGATGGATCAAATTAAGTATTTAACTTTTTAAAAACTAGCCTTTTGGAGAAATATCTAGTAGCCTATTTCCTATATTACAATTTGGTCATGGCTCTTTGTTACAAAAATTTTCCCTCTAATCTCTAAAATGTCTGCCTTGTCATTGGCTACCTGCTTTTAACTACGATTAATGGTGACGTTTTTTTCTCATGTTCCATGATGAACTGGATTAAGGTAACTTTTTCAATCCTTTTATGCTTGATTTTCTTTGCTTTGAATTTGAGCTCTGTTTTCTATTCTAAGTTACGGATAAAAGACTGATACTAGGATAAGGAAGAAAGTCTAGATATCAATTTGATTTCAAAAACAGTTCCCGTTTTGGTCTTTATATTACCAAGTAGTTAATGGTTTCTGCCTTGAGTTTCTAGCTCCTTTCATTTTTTCTAGCTTTCCAATAACTTCATTCATGTCTGGGGGTTGCTGACTGCAACATTGAAGGACCAACTCAGTGATTTCAATTGCCTCTACTCATTACACTTCTTACCTTCCATTAATTTTTCTGATAACATATGCCCAGCTTCCAAAGGTATATGTCTCTTGTCATTTATTTTCTTATTTTTTTCTGTTGGTCATGTCCATCTTTATCTTTAGGCTGACCTGGATCCTTTTCTTTCATCAGCTGTTTGAGCATTGTAATACCAAATGCATATACATCATCCCTTGCATTAGGCAGTTTAAAAGCAGCAGTTTGGTTATATTGGGAATATAACATGCCTACACTTTTAGGTAAAAAAATTGTTTTGTCATGAGAGTTTTTTCTTATATATGCAGTACTAACAGAAATACTATGCTAGAACCAGAATATAACCACTGATTCTACTTCTTGTTTGAAGAAACTCGTGGATAGGATTAACACTCCCTTTTATTTTCATACAGATGAATGTATGCACTTGAAACATTATGAATTTAGACCTGATAAAAAAAGTAACCAATTAAAATTTGTTCTACTCACTGGATATCAATTTCTTAAAAAATTTAAGTGTTACCATCAAGCAAGCTTGAGGCTAATCTTTTAAAAGTGTTGAATTATCAGCAAAAAAATAAAAATAAATAAAAAGTGGCTCCTATTAAAATATGGTGAGTGCTTGAATGTGGTCATAATTTGGTTAACAGACTGAACTTTGTCTTTTATACTAAATATTAAAGATTTGGTTATCTCTTGAATGTCTAGTCTTTTTAGCCATTTATATGCTTACTAGTAAGCATCACTCGTTTAGCAACACAAGCTGCTGAATCGAAGTCTGCTACTTTGACATTGAGATCACTGTTTAGTGGCTTTTAATATGGCTAAATTAATATTTTATCTCTTAAGATTTGATGGCTAATGGGCCAGTAGAAATAAGCTGGGAAAATCTAGAGGATATGCCAGATCCCATAGAGTTAGGATCTGATGGCTTTGAAGTGGTAAAAGCAGTCACGAGATATTAACAGAGAAGACCAATATAGTGAGTATTGTCTAAATATGTTTATAATAATATAATATGAGGTTAAAAAGTGTTTTAACTCATTTATGACATCTTGTCGAGAGAAAAAA